GTTCTTGGGCAGCTCGTTCTTGAGCAGCCTTTGCTTCAGCAGCTCGCTCCTGGGCAGCCTGTGCTTGGGCAGCTCGCTCCTGGGCAGCTCGTTCTTGGGCAGCTCGTTCTTTGGCAGCTCGCTCCTGGGCAGCTTGTTTTTGAGCAAAATTTGCTTGATCGGACTTGACTTGCGCAGTCAGAGCTTCGGAAGCTTTGGTGTTGGGCGCATTTGGTTGCATCGACTTTGGTCGAGCCGCAAGCTGAACGGCCGAGGAAGATTGGGCGGCTGCTTGAGGACCTGTTGCATGCGCAGTACTGGCCAGGACGGCTTTGGATTGCACGGTTTGCAGGTGAGTGGTTATTGGAGCAGCATTTTGGCGAGGAAGTGGTGTTGTTTGAGTGGCTCACCTTTTTCATGCACGGCCTCTGGCATCGCTCTGGCACTCGTTGTCGAGGATGGGTCTGCAAGTACAGCTGCCGCTGGACTTGCATTTTGGGCAGGTCGCGTCGAGACAGATCGTTTATCTGACTGCTCGTGCATTTCTTGAGAAGCAGCTGGCTGCGGCTGCGCCTCTTGTTGATCAAGCCATGACAGGCTGTATAGTACCCAGAGCAAGCCGATCAGGCTGGCAGCGGCAAGCATAAACCAACTGTACAGCTCCATCTAGACGCTGAGGGGAAAAAAAAAAAAGAACAAGGGTCAAAGCCCTGGTCAACAACTGTTGACTGACTGCCCACACCCCAATCCATTCTTGTGAGAAGTCGAAGTGTATGAAGATGCAGCAGCAAAGCGAAGTCACTGTTTGTTTTTCGGACTGAACTTGTCATCAAAATGGGACGACACGCACACGTCGTGTGCCTACATGTACTTGATCCCAACATGTAAGTAAAATACTTTCGGATGCTATGGAGCGGTGGTGTGTGGAAGGGCGCGGCGCAGTGGGCAGCAGGGCAGCAGGGGATGTGAAGCAGCCGCGGAGGCTATATACATAGGGATCAATTATCGCTAGTAGATGAAAGTCTCAATGCGGTAGAGCGAATGCTCGCATGGGTCTGGCTCCATCAACCAGCCAACCAATAACCATCACGCGGATCGGAGAGAGAACAGGGCGGTCAGCTCGAGGTGGGTCGCATCTGCGGCAGAGAGACATCCAAAAAGGGATTGCTGGGAGACACAAAGGCAGTAGCAAAGTCCTGTAAAACCTTGCGCAAAGCAGCTTGCTGTGCCTGAGCTTGTCGACATGCCTCTTGAAGTGTTGCCACCTGATGGCAGATCCCCCAAAACCCAAAAGGCGTACCCACATTCAAATAAGTACATGGCATCATCTGTGCATGCTGGTCGAGCAGCGGCTTTACACCCTCGTGCATAGAGCCCTAGCCTTCCTCACCTGTGCCAGCATGCTTGCCTCAGTCCCCTTGTCCTCCTGCCGCGCACTCGTCTCACTCGTCTCAGCCATTCCGGCCGTCTATGCCGCACAGCATCAAGACCACAAAAAAAAGAGTAGGTTCGAAGCAGATATTGGCAAACATGAGATAAGGGTGTATGAAAGGGACACGTAGGCTCGTCGTCCATCGTACCGGGCGTGTGTGCAGCGAACGGGCCTCGAGATAGGCCTGACCGCATGGCCCAGTAAAATTGGCCCAGTGAGTGGGTGTGGAAGAGGCAATGCGAATCGAGGCGACAAGACTCGAGACCTGCCTGGTAAAAGGGGCTCTTGGTAAAGCTCATGCGCACCTGTAGCTCAGCTAGATCCTGCCAATACCGTGGCATAACAAGTCAATGGCGAGTATTAATCGCAGGTTTGGACAACTCGACGGGGGCCGCAACGCGCCAACATCAGCCAATGTCTCACCTTGTCGACATCACGAAGAGAGCGGTTGAGTCGTGGTTTTGCAATCGAAGTTGCCTGTAAACTTGCCGTGCATTGATCAGCGCTGCCATTTTTCTTGCGCCCTTTCCTTCGCCTCCGCTTCTGCGAGGCGGGCCGCGCTGCCTGTGCCGCACCGCCAGCCATCACCGTTGACGCCACTGCATCTCCTCTCCCACACTCCAGTGCCGAGCACTCAACAATTTGTTCCAAAAGTCCTTCCGCAACGTTGACGGTGCCAAAGGTAAATGACGATCTAATGGCAAGATTTTCTGCAAAAACTATTCAATCTACTACACAAAGTCGGCGCTCATGCCACAGGTGTAACCCTCATCCTCACGCCATATCACGCTAAATCATACCTGAAATTAACACCAGATCACGCCAGATTACTACATTTCAAGCCAAACCACACCAGATGCATAAATGTCAGACCGTTTCGGTGTTGTTGTTTTTTTTCTTGTTTTTCTGTTGCTGAGCAGATTGACGTTTTCGGCTCCTGCGACTCCCGCTCCCTCGGGCTCCCTCGGGCTCCCTCGGCCCGCTCTCGGCTCCCTGGGCTTGCTCACCATTGGGCTTTCGTCGTGTCTTTGCCATTGTATAAGCTCCCTCACCCTCTCTCGCCTTGCGTTTCTCTATTGCGCCGTTTCCTCGCTCGCACAGCGCCTTGTGTACGTCACAACGGTGTTGACGTTTTAAGCTTGGGTGCTTGTATTCCTGCTGCTGCTGCTGGTGACCGCCAAGACAGTGCCCTGCTGCTCGAAAGCTGTTGGTGCCAGGGCAGACTTGCTTTGCTGTAGACGCAGTGAACAGGCTCAACCAGCGCCATGCCCTGGCTCTGCTGCTGGGGTGGTGCGCGCGGCGCGCAACGTCAACAACGTCGTGCGCAGCGCCGTGAACAACGTCGTGCGCAACGCCATGAACAACGCCTGGCCAGACAGAGCCAAAGCGCCATGTTCCGAGCCTCCAACACCCCGCTGGCAGTCAGCGTCCGCCCTCGCGAGCAAACCCCAACCACACTCAGTGCCAGCCAGGGACCTCGTCGGCGCTCCAACATTGTTGATCCCGAGGCCGTAGACACGCATCTTCTTGGCACCATGCCAGCAACGGCAGCTGCCCTCCGGCGACAAAACGAGCAACGTCAGCTTAACTCGATTCAGCAACTTTTTGCGGGGCACATGGCCACAGCGCCCTCGACTGAACTGCCAACTCTCGGACAGAGCCTGCCAGACTCGACAGATCAGCCTCAGGCAGCTCCAATGCTCCCGCGTACCCGCTCTGCTCATCACAGCCGCTTCTCGTCGCGCGAGAGCTCAGGACGCACCTCGCCGATTGGCACACCGACCGGTAGGATGTCCCTCCTCTTAGTTTCTTTTTGATGCGTTTCTTGTGCAACACCAGTGCATCACTGGTCGGCTGATGATCAAGTCACTTCGAAGCCCCCCACGCTACCCGACTCCCCACACGTTGACCCAATCTACCTGCATGCTCCGATACCAAAGACACCCAGACTGCGAGTGCCACGCGTTGTGTTTGCTGCCCTTCTCAATCTACCCCGCTTGCGCTCCATGCCTTGGTGCCCTCAACTGGCTAGAACCGCGCGACTCCTTCCACTCCATGGACCGGGACGGAATTGGCATTCGCGTCAGTCGCCAGTCCGATGGCTCACTTACCCTACAGCTCGAGTCAGCAAGCCACGTGGGTCTCTTGCCTCCTTCCCACGACGCAAGCGATCGTCTTCGCCAAGTACAACGTGAACACAGCCGTCGATTGGACTTGAGCCACGAACAAGCCAGCGCCATCTCTGACCTCACCAACCCCGACCCCACCCCGGCCGGCTCGCCCCCGCGTCGAGTCGAAGACCTCATCGCCACGAGTCACCCGACCTCACTAGCAGAAAGTAAGATCGAAGGGTTCCCTTCAATGGGTTCTGCAGCTTCGCGCCCACCATCGCGCCTCACTCCATCTCTGCCTGGGAATACGTACAGTCCTGCTCGAAGTCCAGGAGATGCTGGCCATGGCATATCTCGATCAAAAGGAACGCGTTGGTGCCGAGGATGAGCTAAATCGCATCCGGGCCGATCGTGAAGTCGTGGAGGCCCACCTTGACGTTCTTGCATTGGAACAGGAGTACGATCTTCTCAATAGCCACTTGAGCCAAAGCGGTGAGCGGCTGCCGCATGCTACGAGCCACATTTTCACCGTTCTTGTCAATGCAGCCCCGACTCACAACTCCAATTTGAAATGCCCACCGCTGCCTTCCAATTGCTATTCCGTAGAAGGCGACATGCTACGAACCGCGGGCAAGCGTGAGAGAGACGAACTTGAACTCAAGTATGCCCCGTCCCAACTCTTGCTGACCTCCGTCAACGCCTGGTTTCAAGCGGCTGTGTCAACCGCTGTCACCACATTCATCTCTTATCGCCTTGTCCATCATTCACTCGTGCTTGGCATCCACGCGCAAACGCTTTCGCTCCATTCCCCGTTGTCGATAGACTGATTCACCGTCGCTGCATCACGATCATTGCTGAGACGGCTGCTGCATTGGCTCTGCTTGAGCGACAGCCTGAACATGAAGAAGCAGCCGAAGCACAGCGCTTGCGCATCCGAAAACAAATGGTGCGTGACTCTCCCGACGTCCAAGCCAGCTTACCTGGTGTTCCTGGGACAAGACCCCGTCATGCTTGGTGTTAACACAAACCTCAACATGTACACGATGCGGTCCACGCAGACTGTGCTTGAGCGCCTTTCTGTGGGTCAGTCCTCCACCATCCGTGACTTGCGCCAAGCCGAGCGCGATAGCAGTCATGAGCGTCGCAAGTCTGTGCGGTACACCGAGGAGCAAGAAGGGCGCAAAGCTACGCTTGAACAGCGCATTCAAGATTTGCATGACGCGTGCGTGCCCGGTCGACTCCTCGCTTGTCCAATTTCGCTCAATCATTTTGTTGCCCTGACACCCTGTGCCAGCCTCACTTTGCGACCCATGGTGTTGCTGATGTAATTGCTGCAGCGAGGCTTGTCAATCTTTTCGAGCGCAGCAGCTGCATGCACGCAAGACCGGCAAGGTAACGAATGCTATTCCTGCACATCGTTTGCCCGGTGACGCGTTGACTCACTCTGTCTCAACTCTCCGTTATTGCTGCAGCTGGAGCTCGTGCTGCAACGGGAAGGCTTGATGCGAGACTCGTGGCTAGCCATGACGGCTTTACCTGTGCATCAACTTCAGCGACGCTTATTCGTATCCTTTGAGGTCTGCCCGCCTCCTGCTATGCCAAAAGCTCCTGATATCGCACTGTCACCCGCCTCGGCCCAACCCTCACGTTGTGTTCTTGTGTCCATGTCCAATATCTTTGCCAGGGCGAGGCAGGCCGTGACTTTGGAGGCTTGGCTCGCGAGTGGATGGATCTCATGTGCAATGGTATGTCTCACCACTTGCCTCTGGCACTTGTGTCATCCTTGTTGTGAGATGATTCAATTGTGGAGGGGACTGCGCTTGGTGCGCGCTTGACTTCTGATACCACCTCTGTCCTTCAACTAGGTGCTGTTCGACAAGCCGTTCAACACAAGGCTTTGCTAGACGTCACCGGACATGCCCAACACTTGATGGTATGTGCTTTCTTTCTCTCTCCCCCTCTCTCCCTCTCGCTCCCTCTCTCTCTCTCTTTCTCTTTGCAGTGAGGCAAGCTAGCTGCGAAGAGCGGCTTGCCTTACTGCAATTTTGCTTTCGCGCTGTGCATCCTCAAATGGTATATTTGCGCTGATTCTTCCCGCTCACAATATCCACACTACCCTCGCTTGATTCACATGTCAATTGGATAGCTAAGCCCAACGATGACTCCCACTAAAGAAGCGCTCGATACCATTGAATTTTTGGGACGAGTTGTTGGACTTGCCCTATTTCATGGCCGACTTATCAATCCACATTTCAGTCTGATTGTGTACAAGGTAAGCTCTATTGGCACACTTGGTGTGGCTCTGCGCTTCAACAGGTACACAATTCCCACATTGAGGATACGTTGTTTGCTCGCAGATGCTTTTGGACCAGCCCTGCGCGTCTCTGGATGACCTTGCCACCGTGGATCCTGAAATGCATCATGGGTATGTTCTGGCAATTTGCGTCTTGCAATATGTATGAGAAGCACAGCCCAGCCTCACGCGTGTGGTGCGTTTCATCTCAGCTTGATGTCCTTGCTCAAGATGAGCGATGTTGAAAGTCTGGACATGGTTTTTGAAGTCACAGACCCCGATGGCAAAACTCATCCTTTGATTGAAGGTGGTGCGTGACGTCTTCGCGCGCGTGGGTCTGGGTGGGTCATAGTCCAATGATGTCTGCCGTACTGATCTTTTCTCTCCTCGCACTGTAGGATCGACCAAGCCTGTCACCGACGCCAATAAACGAGACTATGTGGATTGCTTGTTGCAGTGGCGGCTGAATCGTGGCGTTGCCGAGCTCTTGGAGGCCTTCAAAATTGGCCTCACCAGGTATGTACTGTGCTGCTACGCTGCGTCGCCCCTGGCTTTGCGCCGGACGATCGTGTCTCATCAAACTTGCACGTCCTGCGTGGTTTTGTCACACAGCTTTATTCCGCTCTCGGCCTTGGCTGGTTTCACAGCGCCTCGTCTGCGCCTTCTCGTCAGCGGCTTGCAGCAGATTGATGTGCGCGAATGGAGAACAGCCACAGCTTATGTCAATGGCTATGGCGAAGGTGTGGCCAAACTCTCGCACGCGCCGTAGACCTTACGTGTCGGGCGCGTGTTTGCTGTTGTTATTGTTTTGTGTGGTTTAGTCCTTGTGTCTTTGCTTTGCCTGCCTGCCTGACTGCTGCGACGTGGCTCACTGCTTGCAGATGCGATCCAAGTACAATGGTTTTGGCAGTGGGTCGACCAAGCTGACGAAGCGCAGCGTGCCAAGTTGTTAACCTTTTGCACCGGCTCGACTCAGCTCCCGGCGCAAGGCTTTCATGGCCTGAGTGGAATTCACGGCTATTGCCCGTTCGTCATCGCCAGGTTGGTCGACTGACTTGTGTTGTGCCCATGCCGCGGCGTGACTCGTGCTTGCGACTGTATTCGTTCCTTGGCTGACTCTGGGTATGCCTTCGCGTACGGTGCGCCAGGGTTGGCGATGTGGACCGTTATCCAGCCGCGCACACCTGTGTGAATCGCTTAGACCTGCCGGCATATGCTTCGCGAGATGTGCTTCATGCTCGCCTCAGCTTTGCCGTGCAAGAGACGGAAGGCTTTGGCTTGGTGTAGCGTTTCGTTTTGTAATGTGCTAGAAGTAGGACCTGTGGCCCTTTTCTTTGGTGGTGAATAACCTCGTGCCAAGCCAAACGACCGTCGTCCATATAGTCTCGGTTCATGGTTCTGCTGTGCCACTTGCCGCTGTGCGGAAATAGATGGAGTGGTCGTTGATGAACCAGCTGCCGGTCACAATCGAACGAGATCCTTCATTTCTTTTTCGAGGCAATCGTTTCTGCCCTTTTCATTGGCCTCTGACTGAACAAACTGCAAAACTGCATGTCACAAGTGCCTCTCTCAACCTTGCTGAACATGTAAATTCAGTTATGACTTTTTACGTCCATTCCGGGGGAGCCTATTCTGAGGATGAAAAATGCGGCTCAGGCTCTACAACAGTTTAACGGATAGCGTCGCAACGGTACTTGCAAAAATCGTTGCAACAGTACCACTGAGGCTACAACTCACAGGGCGCACCGAGGTCGACTCCCCGTCCTCAGACTGCCATACAAGTCTAGGAGAGAAAAGAAAAAGGAAGAATTGCGGATTTATTCAGCAAAAATACAAGCGAAATTAGCCAAAAATTGACTGAAATTTCAAAACAAAAGGACACTTGCCTGGAAACATGGTCGGCCTCAACTAGGCCAGTGCCCGTAAGCACAGTCACAGTGAGATCGCGCCCCAACAATTTCCGCAAATCGACGGACGTGGCCTAGAGGCGATGCATTGGGGAGCTCAGAGGCACGTAACTGCACCCGACGAAGGAGTAGAGCCACAGCCTCACCCAGACGCACCTGAGCTAAATCCATATTTTTCAGCTGGAGCAGGTACTCGGTGGCTGACACAGCAAAGAGGCGTACAAGCTGAAGCTGCCTTGGAATGGCGGCGATGGCGGGAGCCACGGCGCGGGGCAAGCTGTACACGACATAAAACGTGATGAGCGTCCTGGGTCGCGTCCAACCGCCACACCGCTGGCATGTACATACCACGGGCCAGTAGCTAATGACGAGTAAATCAATGGCTTTTGTAACGCAGCCACCATGTCGGTGACCGAGCTTTGGCTGAATCATTTCCACCCACGCAGGCCAAGAATGAGGGCGCACATGGCCGCACTCTAGCAGCACTGTCCGCAGAACCAACCTTTGATTGGGCGCTTCGCCCACAGTGAGTAGCATACGTTGATGCAGGGGGCTGACATCGTCATGAACGACAGTGCTTGACAAGCCTCGCTATGTGTGAGGCAATTGACACAATCAAGGAGGCATACAAGTGGGGAAAACACGGATGCGCATTCATGTCTGAAGCCGGTGGCTTGCGCTGCAAAAAACACGGACCGTTCGGATCCGCTTCTGCAGCATTAGCTGCAGGCGGCCAGGCGCTGGATGGATGACTGTGTGCGACTGACGAAAGGCGACAGACACAGTGTTGGCCCCATTTGCGCTATGCATCGAGGTCCACGACGTGGCAGGATAGGTTTGCGTAGGCAGATCAGATGTGCCGTTGACGAGGCGCGGCAGTGCACCCAGACCATTGGTGTCAGTTAGCAGCCAGCCCGCATCTGCCCCATCTGCCACAATCTCGAGAACGAGCTGGCAGACCCAAAGCGACGCACAAATCAACCAACAAGGCGCATGCATGAAACAAGCCCAGAGGTTGCAAGCAGGAGCAAATTGCGAAGGACGAGTTTTCTGACCTCGGAGGCCACATCCAAGACATCAACCCCCACATCAAGCTCAAGCGCACCGCTGGCGCCCTGATGATGGTACAAGCGGAGCTGCACCACATGCCCATGGTATACCTGAGTGACCTGGTTGAAGACAGCACCCTCGAGTATCTAAGCCAGGCCACGGGCAATGACTGGAATGTAAATGATCAAAGCAGAGTGTCGAGAGTTGAAGACATGGCCAAACCTGCACGTCTGACGGCCCAGGGCCAATCGGAACGCTAGGGCCAGTAACGTTGAAAAGGTAGGCGCCGTCCTTGGAACTCTCATATAAAGCAAAACCAAACGCGATGGGGGTCGAGACGTTGGTGCGGAGATTGGTTATGCGAGTGACGCCTACAAACAATAAAAGTACGCGGCATCATTCAGCCGGGCATGGGCTGCGACTGAAGCGGACCCCAGGCTGGGGAGACTATCACTCCACTACCAACCCTGCGTGAGAGTACCCTCCAAAGTGAAGACGCCGTTGGTCGTGGAAAACGTCTGGTCTTCCCTTGGCAGCACCGTGGAATGGGGCACGACAACCGTGCGTGAGGTGTTATGTGTTTGCCCAGCGTGGGCACCGGCATAGGGCACGGTTGAAGCAGCACTAATGGTGTGCAGCTCAAAGGGGGCGAGGTCCAAGACTACTCGAGTAGGATCGTTCATGCGTCGAGCCAAGCCGCGGGGAATGCTGAGGAGCAAGAGCAAATCAGAGGCAAAGTTTGCCACGACAAACAGCAACGGCCATCGTGAGTGCCAGGGCTGCGCGCTCGTGCGCCTCCAGTGATTGTTTTTTAGTTTGAAAGACGTACATGGTTCCGTACAGCCCCGAAGGTACAGCTTGAGCGGGAACGGGTGCACCATCATGAGTGGTGACGGCAGTGACAACGGAGGGGAGTCTGCAAAGCAGCCACAGGATCGCGCATGGCATGGTCGTCGTCAGCCGATACGAGACGGGGTAAAATGGAAAACTGCTAGCAGATTTGCGCCAGACACTTACACCACAACAAAGGTCTGATTGTGTGGGGTCGGGTTGAAGACGTGATATTGCACCTAGATGCATTGGCCAAGGTGAGCAACAGCACTCAAAGCGTGGCCTGCGCTCAACATCATTGCAACATTGTAGGCTGCCTTACTGTTTGGCGGCGCTGCAGAGCGCGGAGAATAGTTCGATCCTCAGACAAGAACAGGTCAGAGGAGGAGCAGGTGCCGTTGGCTAGGCCCTGGCGAGACAGAGCAGGCGGCGAAGAGGGTCAAGTTCCCGAGTTTGTGACAGAATAAGCTTCATTCGTCTTACCTGACGGAGCAACTTCCAGATAGTTGCTTCGCTTTCGTCAAGAAGGCGATAGTAGTCGTCGAGTACGTTGTGATCGCCCCCGGTCTGTCCACCGCCGGTGCACCCTTCTTCTGCCACACACATTGTGCCAGTAATGGCATCGTGGTGCAAGATGATATCTTGGAGGGTAGAGGCTGCCACCAGGGCCTCGGACTGGCGGGGAGACCAGCCAAAGAAGATCATCATGGGGTGAGGTGCAAACGGGAAGCCATGGCCCTGAGGATGGAGTCCGACTGTGCGGGATGGAGATGGCACGGGCGAAGTGGGGCAGTGACCGACCGTAGCGGCGGAGAAGTTTGTGTGTAGACCCAAGAGGGCCTCTGTGGCGATCAGGAAATCGTGGGCATCGCGTGACCGTTGCTTCAGCACCGGGCGCGAAGTGTAAAAGCCAGACCACACCTAGCATGGGCAACCGCGGGGTCCATTCTCATCAACGAAAGTCCTTCTCAGGGGCTGGTAGGGACAGCCACGACATCGGATATCAAGAAATGATGGTGGGCGGGGGGCAATTGCTGAACCTGTTTGGAGGATTGCATGTTGTAGGCCAACGGGAAAAAGTCGCGCGGACCGCGAGTGGGCCACTTGGTGTAGTTTTGACGCTGAAGGAGGGCAAAATACTCATCCACAGTGGCGTATTGGATGGTCATGTTGTAGACTTGAGGTTTGCTGTTGATTTCGGCCATGAGTCGGTCCGTGTTGGAGAAGACTAGGGTGGCATTTTGATACATAAAGTCGCAGCCCCAAGGGACGAGGACATAGGGCGTGCGGTACCAGTCAGCTCGGGGCAAGACGGCTTGCACAAAGGCTTGGGCTCGATCGGCCGCGTTGGCTGGGGTGATGTCTGGGCTCGTATCGCCTTCCATGCCCCACCGGAAGCCACCGGGCATGCAGTAGTAGGAGTCAAATATGTGAGTGAAGAGTCGGGCGGTGCTATCGTTTAGGATGGGTGAGGGTTGCCAGACAAACTCAAGTTGGCGGTTGGCCTTGCCCAGGTTCATTTCATCGTCGGGAATACGGTTAATGACCAGGGCGTCAAAGCCCATGGTGGCATACAACAGGGCGTTGATGTTGGAAGAGCCAAAGGGATCTATGGACCAGCCCACGCGTGGTCGGGTGCTAAAGTGGTCTTGCAAGTAGCGGTGGCCATCGCTCATCTGGCGCAATATCTGTTCTGTTGTCGGGCAGGCCTGTTGGGGAGTTTAAGCGTGTGAGGTGTGTGGCACGACGGGCGACTTCGTCATGTGCGTCGGCTCATCGGCCAGCTGCCCTTTTCCCCATGGACCTGAAACGCAAATTTTTGTCTCCATGCGTTGTATTTCGGTCAGTTTGTGTGCGCCAACGTCTGTGGATATCCCTGTATCTGCATCTGGTGCTGGCGGGCTGACCTGACCTGATCATGTTGGACCATGCCTCCATCGATAAAGGACCACTGGCCCTTGGCAATGAGGCGCTTGAGCGTGGCTAATTGGGCACTTGTGGCGTCTTGCTCTATCCAGAGCTGCAAAAAAGAGGAGAAGCTCATCAGTGGTGGCGGGGGGTGGCCTTTGCAAGAGGGCGGCCGGTGAGCATGCCGGGGCAACGCGGCACCTTGAGGTAAACCACTTCTGCCCAGCTGAAGCGCTTCGTCGGGTCCTTATCCAGCTCATCAAGCACGCCGGGAATGATATGGCTCACGTTGAGGTCGTAATACGAATCCATCGTCTCCAGCCACCCAACATCTGGGGAGGTAGCCACGGCAAGATTGGTGAGGGTGCACTGCCGAGAGACGAGGAGTTTGTTTTCAACCCAGCGAGGCACGAGCAACCAACCCAGGTGAGTATGGGGCGCGATGATGACCTTGATCGGCTCGCCGCACACCAAGCGAATCGGCGCGTCGAATGCTAGGACCAGAACCAGCCCAAACAGTGGTCGGCTCAGGGACATGGTCGACATGGTGCCGTTGGGTGGCAATCAAACCGACAGCCGTGCAGCTTCGATACCGGCAGCACTTGGCCCTCCGTGCCTAACATAAAGGGTCCTCCCGTTCGAACAAGGTCAACTCCTTCCCACCTTCTCCTCCGATACACCTCCACCCAGCACCCTCTGCCCAAATGATCTCTCTCTGCTCTGCTCTGCTGTTCTCTCTCTTTTTCTTTTTGTGAAATTTGAGAAAAACACACTGACACTCCAAAACATCAACAGAGAGAGAGAGAGAGAGAGAGAGAGAGAGAGAGAGAGAGAGAGAGAGAGAGAGAGAGAGAGAGAGAGAGAGAGAGAGAGAGAGAGAAAACAGCAAAGACACAAAGGAATAGCACAACTACCACTGAAAGAGAGAGAGAGCAAAAAGAGCGATGTCAGATTAAATGATTTCGGTGTCAAAAGACAGAAAAAATTTGTGAGAGGAAGGGCACACACACACAGAGACGCAGACGCAGACGCAGACACAGGGAGCGGCCAGCTTGCTGGAAGTCGAGAGTTGGACCAACGGGGGGAGAGGGGTTGTTGGTGTGGGCTGGTGGTGTGGGCTGGTGGTAGATTGGGTCGGATTGGGGTGGGTGTTTGCTGTGAACGGCGCTGTTGGAACGAGTGCCCTCCGACATCAGGTCGAGGGTGATGGAGACAGGATGGATCAAGCCCTCCAGGCCCTGATCGCCAGCCCCATGGCAGCAGAGGTAAAGAAGCCTACCGTTTGGTGGCAGCAGCAAATACAATTGAGCAAGGCCTTCTGCTGAGAATAACCCAGCCACTGCCCTCGAGCTCTCCTCACCTTCTGCTTCCGCTGTGTAATAGTTGGGTCGGCTTCTCTTTCGGCCCCTCTGCGAATTTCCGCTGCAAGACGTGGAGCAGTTGACGCTGCGTCTTACCGTGCTCAACGATGTGGCCTTGAAACGGCTCGTACAGTGCGTCACATGCCCATCGTGCTGTTCAATGCGCTCTCCCTCCCTGCTGTATTGGCTAGTCCTTGCTCTGCTTGGAGTCAGCTCACCGCGCTGTGGTTGCGAAAATGAAATGGGACACAGAAATGCCGCACACCACCTGGTCTCGTCAATGGTCGTTGACGTGGGCAATTGCGTCTCCAACTCCCCACATCAAGATAGAATTGTTCATCTCTTGACCTCCTTCCGGTCCGGGCCTCATCCCTATCATGTCCCCGACCAGCTGATCACAATCACCTTTGCTCATGCAAAAGTCGGCGTCTGCTAGATTTATGTGCCGGCCCTGTCATGCCATCAACATGGAGCTCGCCTCCTTGCTGCCCGAGGTGCTGCCCGTCATGGCCAGCACTCTTGACGAAGCCCCAGGTGTGCATGTCTTTCAACAGCTTGCTCATACCCCAGCTGGCGGTGATCCACGTTGGGGTTTGCTCCTGCTCCCTTTCTGCTCGGCGAGAGTGTGGTGCGGGTCGGTTGAGATGGGAGCTCTCTCTTCAGCGCTTCTTTTCCTCACTTGTCGATCACATGCAGATGGGCTGGTGGCCCCCGAACTTTTGTCCATGTATGGCTCAATCTTGACAGATGAGGGACCGGAGTTGTGTCGGCCCTACTTGTTGCCGCTCTTTCCACACATTCTCAACTACCTCGGCCGCGATAGCGTCGGGACAAGCGTCTCTCTTCTCCTGTACCTCAGCTTGGGCGGCGTCCTTCTGCCCTCTTTACAGCAAGTGGGTGTACACGCTTTTTTTTTCAATCCTTTGCGTGGAGTGTCCTTGCTCATGGGCCTTGCGGGTGGCTTGCCTTCCCTGCCAGCACTGCCTTTGACATCTCTGTTCGCTATCCGATCTCATCTCTTGGATGCTGCTTTTCAGGCACCGCCCCGAGCGCGCGTCGTGGCGGCAGCACTAGACATGGAGATTCCATCTGCCCTAGAAGGTCGACCCTACTGGCGCCATCTCGTGCCTGCCATTGTTGACAACGAGCCGGGCCGACAGCTGCTGCTAAAACTTCTCTTGGTGGGTTGGGTGGTCCCAGTTGAAGGTGCCCTGGCAAGCAGCATTCTGCGATTTGAGTGTGTAGTTGCTCCTTCAAGGTTACAGACACGGACCACGTTCATTTTGCTGCATGACGAACCTGTTGCTGCCCACAGGTACTCCGCGCGGCGATCAATGGCGTGGAATATCAAGGTTCGTTGTGGCCAAGCTCAACAGCGTACTAAGAGCAATACGTGCTTTGGGACGCTTTTAGTTTACCAGATCTGATCCGTAGCGCGTGTGAGCATGCTCCGCTGAATTACCATCATGCTGTCCGCAGAGCGTCGCTGGGGCCCACTGCCCGGTGCCTCGGCCGTTCGTCAAGTGGCTTCAACGCAGCCCGATCTCATCCCACTGTTGAGCGAGCACGGTCTACCCGAGATGTTGATCACGGTACAACTTTGCCACGTCCGAAATTGTCGACGCATCGCCTTGGCTGTGGTAGTTCACGACCTTTTGGCCCACTTCCTGCAATCATTCAGGTGTTACAGCGGGGCGACTCGGACTGGGCCATTGATGCCCAGAGCTTCTCAATGTTTTACTTTGCACGCGCCCGCCACGAAGCGGCTGTGGCGCTGAAACACTTTGTGCGTGGTTGTCCTGCTTCTTCTCGCACACATTGGCGATGTGCGCGATTCCTCATGGGTGACAATGCTGCGGCAGGTACAAGCCGGTATTGAGTTGCATACTGAGCGTCTCTTGGATGCCTGCCTTGCTAACATAGACCGGTAGGAGTGGAGCTGCCTTGTTGCTCGCTGGCAAGGGCGTACCTCTCTCACAGCGCCATGCTTTGTGTTTGAACATGTATAGCAACGACAGTGTCAGCACCACTGTTACGCTGGAGCTGTTGTTTTACATCTCTCAGCGACTGAAGGATGGCAAAGCACGGCAGGCCGAGTCAGCAGCGCAATAAGAACGGAAAGCCGTTTGGTAGCCCCGGCGCTGCTCATGCCAGCTTTTGTGGGCCGAGCCCACCCAAGGTAACCCAATCATGTGCTGATTGGTTTCTCAATGTCAAACTTGCCTGTGCAGAACCCTCTCCATATTCTTTGCTGTTGTTGTGAACTTAACGATGTCAATTTAGCCAATGAGCATCCAAATGGGGAATGACAAGATACAAGTCCACGACCAAACACGGAAACACTCAGGCCTTCAGTAACAGGAAACAAGACGCAATATAAAACAGGAAGAGGGCGTAGCCCCAGCGTCCCCAAGCGAATGATCAATGCAGACATGCGCGCTAGCGTATTCAAAGGGGGGGGATTGACCCCTCAAAAAAAGTTCGCAAGGGGGAGAAAAAACACCAAATGAAACAACGAACAAATACGAGGGCTGTCACAAGCAGGCAACACACAGACAAGACAAGGTGGTGTAGATCACTTCTGGCCCCAACCACGCATAGCACAGGAGGGTACCATATTGGAAATCATTTATCGGGGGCCCTCAGCCAGAGCCTGAGCCCTGCTGGCCTCGGCCTCGGCCTGCTTTTCGGCCTCCACCGATTTGACAACGGCTTCAACGTCCTCAGGAGAGATCTCCTCGAGACGACCACCCCGGCGCATCACGGCGAGCTCAATGTTCTTGCCACCCGACTGCACAACCTCCAGAAGGGCCTTGACGGCCAGTTTCTGACAGCCCTCCACGTCTGCTACTGCTTCTTCAGAATACTGCTTCTCAAGATATTCGCGCACTGTCTTGGAGCGAGGTCCACCAATGGAGTTGGCCTATCGCAGCACAACAAGACATGACAGACATGAGCGCAAAGTAATGACATTGTTCAGTAAATGAAAGCGCCACGAAGGCACTCCGTTCGATCAAAGAACAAGGAAGTAATAGAACCAGACGAGTCAAGCGGCGGACAAGGTGGATGAGCTCAGCCAAACAGTCTTGTTTGGTTGTCGGCAAGGTAGTCGAGACCACCCATAAGGAACGAGGAATTCAAGTTGTCATCACAGTCATGCATCCCAGCCGCCGCCGCAGCACACACACACACACATATAACACACACCCGCACACCCACACACACTTGACATGGAACATGTTCACAAACAAGCAGGAGACAAGATGACAAACGAAGCGACCACGGTAGTCTGGCTTGCAGAGGATAGCTCAGCCAAAAAGATCTTGTTTGGTTGTCGGCAAGGTAGTCGAGACCACCCATAAGGAACGAGGAATTCAAGTTGTCATCATTGACACCTCGGACAGGCCAGCCACCATGGTCATGTCATGTCGTTGCCTCACAGACAGACACAGACACAGACACAGACACAGACACAGACTAAGACACACAGAAGGAAAAAAAAAGGGAAGGAAAAAAAAAGGGAAGGAAAAAAAAGGGGGGGGGGGGGGGGGAAAGGATAGAACCAACAGGTAGCAGGCCCAGATGACTCAATCGTCATCTCAAAGTAAACATCAAGAGGGAGCAAGTGAGCGAGAATGGAAACTCACGCTCCAAGCTGAATAGGTGCCAGAGGGGTCTGTCTGGAAGAGACGGGGCGTGCCATCCGGGTCAAATCCCACAATCAAAGCTGAAATGCCAAAGGGCCGACGGCCATTGCTCTGAGTGTATTTCTGAAAACAGCGTGCGCGAGGCAAAGCGAAAGCGTGAGGACATGAGCGCAACAGGGAGGCACACACACTCCAGCAAAGGACTGAGCAGCAGATGCAAGTGTTACCAACCTGTTTGATTTGTGCGACGAAGCGCGTAATATATTCCACCGTGGGAGGGTCTTCGACCGTGAGACGATAGCTCTGGCATTCGACACACGTCTTGTTGATCAGTACGCGCGCATCGGCAGTCAGGCCTAATGTCAAACGACCACACGGCAATGCCCGCAAGCGACATAGTCAGTGAGAATGGGGTTCAAATACCGGGGCAGAGTTAACGCAACCTTGCCAGGATGACCAGTTTGGGCAAGGTCACTGGATTGGCGAGGGAAAAGCTGAACCACGTCACGTACCCGCAAAGGCCATAAAGATGTGGTCGTCAAGCTTGCAAATCTTGCGCACCGTGCGCGTGTCTTGAAGCTTGGCCGCAGATCTCCTCTCAACGGCCAGTACAACACAGTCTTTGCCGCGAATGCCCACCTGCATCATCATCACGGCAGGTTGTTGGTGAGCTGTGGTGCACAAGTCGACTTTTATGCGAAAAAAAAAAAAGCCACTGAACCAGACTTGCGAGGACTTACGGCAGTGGTACCCTTGCGTACAGCTTCAAGGGCATACTCCACCTGAAACAGGTGGCCGTCTGGCGAGAAGACGGTAATGGCACGGTCATAGGAACCCGACATGTTGCTGGGCTCGGCTCGTCTACCTCGAGGTTCGTGTCGTGTCACAGCGAGCCGAGGGAGGCGAGTCAAAGAAAAATAAAGGGCTCAAGCCAAACAAAGCAAAAAATGCTTCAAAGCCACTGAACACATCAAACGCAAAGTTGAGGGGGCTCCCTAACTAAGGTGCCACATCAGTTATCAAAGGACAGTTGTACGGAAGCTGGAAGTCGATGTTGAGAGGCGCCAAGGCCAGAACTATCTGGCTCAACTGGCTGCCCTGGACCCTTTCCACAGCACCGCGGCGCATCTCTCAGCCTCAGCGGCGACCCTCGACTGCCATTTGCTGTTACGATTGACACACCTCCACGACAAAGATTGAGGTGCACGACCAAGGGGTCAACTTTTAGCCGCTCATACATTTAGACCCCCGGATGATTGGCTTGTGCTGTCCCATCTATAGTATCATTTCACGCCCTTTTTTATAGCTACGCTTTTAGAAAATATTAACGGCCGTTATGCACCGTTAATTTTCTCTGGCGGGAAAAGCAATGCGCGCTGAGCGAAACCGTGCGCAGGTGCAGGTGCGCTCAGATATTGCGGCGCCATGCAGGAGGCCCGTGGTCATGCCACCTGTCGGGTGAGATCTGGTAACCGCCAACCGACTCGAGGTGGTATTTTCCGACAACCAGTCTTCCGATCGTCTACATCCTTCGTGTTGAATCACAAGGACGTTCAGGCCGCCGTTGTTGACCATCAAGCAGACCCAGCACCATGTTGGACACTCCCGCCTCGACCACCGCTTCGGTGACCGACCACACTGCCACCATCACTGAAGATCTAGCCAACCTGAAGGTGGCAGCCAAGGCCGCGCTGGCCTCTGATGAATGCACCATGCTCACGCCCGAAGAGATTCAGGCCGAGCCTCTGCTGCGCGCCAACCCGCGCCGCTTTGTCATCCTGCCCATCCAGCATGATGCCATCTGGAAAATGTACAAGAAGGCCGAAGGTGAGCTCGCTTTTCTTCCGAGACCTCAATCACTTGCGGGATATCTCCACCATCCCGTCAGCTTCGTTATCAACTCACTGCCCTGTCTATTCGCGCGCGTCGTGGTGATGCCTTGGGCTGATGACAGCTTCCTTCTGGACGGTCGAGGAGGTGGACTTGGGTCGTGACCTGGTCGACTGGAACAAGCTCAACAAGGACGAACAATTCTTCATCAAGCACGTCCTGGCCTTTTTTGCCGCCAGTGATGGCATCGTCAACGAAAACCTGGTTGAGCGCTTCATGACTGAAGTCCAACTGCCCGAGGCCCGCTGCTTCTACGGATTTCAGATTGCCATTGAGAACATTCACTCTGAGATGTACTCGCGCCTGATTGAGACATATGTCAACGACTCTGCTGAGAAGGACAGCCTCTTCAACGCCATTGAGACGCTGCCAGCCGTGCGCCGCAAAGCCGAGTGGGCCATGCGCTGGATCAGCCACGACAAGGCCTCGTTTGGTGAGCGTGTGGTGGCCTTTGCGGCCGTCGAGGGCATCTTCTTCTCGGGCTCCTTTGCTGCCATTTTCTGGCTCAAGAAGCGTGGCCTCATGCCTGGCCTCACCTTCTCCAACGAGCTCATCAGCCGCGATGAGGGTCTGCACACTGACTTTGCTTGCCTCATGTTCAGCATGCTCAAGAAGCGCCCTTCCAAGGAGCGCGTGACCGGCATTATCATGGATGCCGTCGAGATTGAGCAGGATTTCCTGACCAACGCTCTCCCCTGCGGTCTCCTCGGCATGAACGCTACCCTGATGAAGCAGTACATTGAGTTTGTCTCAGACCGCCTGCTGGTGGCCCTGGGGTGCGAGAAGATCTTCAACTCGGAGAACCCCTTTGACTTTATGGAGAGCATCTCCATCGAGGGCAAGACCAACTTCTTTGAGAAGCGCGTGGGCGAGTACCAAAAGGCTGGTGTGATGGCCGACAAGGACCAGCACGTCTTTACCTTGGATGCTGACTTTTAAGGCCAGCGGCTCTTATGGATTACCACCTCAATGCCCGTGTGCCATGCTCTACCTGCGCCGACAACTCGCAGCCCCGCTGTTTGTGTGTTTATATTCCAAGGCTGCCTCTTGGCGCGGGCGGTCGTCGGCGCGGAGTGCGTGTTTGTCACTCCATGCTAGCCGAGATTAAGCTTGCCTTTTGTGTGTTTACATGTTATGTTCGTAAAGAGGGTTCTGTCTTCGTGATGGTATTGGTTCCACACTCTCGTTTGGTTGTGCGCTGGCCCATGGTCGTTCCAGCAAATCCTACATGGCCGTGTGCCGTAGTGAGTGGACTTTGGCAGGCCATGCGTGGTAGCAGCTCGCACCACGATTTCGATTTTTTTTTGGTTCTCGTGTGTGTTTTTTTTTTGTTTTCCTTGCGTCCCCCTCTGTTAAACCGTTCTCATTTGGCCCAAGGTCACTGAGTGCCGTCTTTTTGCAAAGCAAGGGCGGATCGAAGTAGCGGTATTTGTGTTTGGCCAGTGTGGTCGTTGGAGGGCTTATTGCCCGCCCTCCTGGGGTTGGTGTTCGTGTTGCACGTTGGATAGTTGAAGCTTAAATGATCATTCTTCATGCTAAAAGTGTCAGCCACTTTTTTGCCAAGATGTCAGACAACAATTGTCATCATTGCAGAGCGTGATTGTATTGCCCTGAGGTCAAAAACCGTTTCCTACCAATTACCAAAAGCAGCCACAGGTTCTTCTCGAAAGAGATTCCAACAGAGACCAAGAGACCAAAGAAGAAGACTCGAGGTCTGCTTGCTTATTGTGTGCCACACGTGCAGGAGCCAAGTCAAAGACAAGATGACGCGATTCACGTGCATCTCGACGTAGGACAAGAGTGAGCAGGTTTAGCTTACACCACTTCACGTGGGTGTGGTAGAACGGGCTTCGCAGAAGGCGATGGAACAAACAAAAAAATCAACTAAGCTTTCCATAACAACGTGAAGGGGGTGGATCTTAAAACGGCAGTCGGGGGTGAGATGGAATGCATTTGATGGCAATGGCCGTTCAACTTGATGCTGCAGCAGGGCATTGAAGGGGTTTTGTTCTTTCAAGCAGTCTGGGTGCTTTTGAAGTGGATCAAGCCCAAGGCCAAAATGGGCGTGACTCGTTTTCGACGCCACGTCGTCGCTTCTTCTCCAACCGTTCCGAGTTGTCTGCAACTTCACCTCGAAAATTCTCTGCCATTCTTTCCCATCTCTGATTCACCCTTGCTTTCACGCATTAAACCTTAACACTAGGCCGCTCTGTCTCTAGCCCGGTCTCTCTTTCACACACATTCTCTCCACATCCTTTCTGTGCAGTGAGCTGCTTTTATCTTATTTTTCTTCCTTCGTGCTTGAGGTGAGTGATGGTGCTGGCCGACGACGCGGCGAGCCTGTAGAGGCGACCTGTCAGGCTGCCATCGCTGAAAGGGTAGCAGACTTCTTCCCTGTTGCCGTTTTTATTTTTGGGTGGGGCGCTAGTTTGTTGTGGGGGGTCGAGACCATGTGACTACCGCGCTGCGGATTGAAGCTGTGTTCTCTTAAGTTTTCTTCGACGTTGTTGTCGACAGCTGGCTGACGTGTCAGGATGTGGCCCGCGTGCTTTATTCCTTCGGCTTTCGATTTGCTCATCAACCCTGCATGCTGCCCCCTCGTGTTTCATGCTCTTTTTATTGCGCGGTTCCGTATTTGTTGGCGCCGTTGTTGCGTGCTTGTGTTGGTAGATACATTCATCATGCCGCACACCGAATTGTACGACCTTTTGGGCGTGGCCCCCAGCGCCTCGGAGTCTGACCTCAAGAAGGTGCGTCTTGCCTCGCTCTGACACAAACTTTATGGGTTTGCAAACCGGTTCACCGATTAGTCTGCTCCCCGTGGCTGTTGTTGCTGGTTTTTGGCGAGCCATCGTCCCCGTCCATGGCACATCGGACTGTCAATATTCAATTGGCATTGCTTGCCTAGGCTTACCGTAAGAAGGCCATGAAGTATCACCCCGACCGCAACCCTGAGGCCGGTGAAAAGGTGGGTGACATAACATTGTCGCTTCCTGGGTCAAAACTGGCTGGCCGGCTGGCCCTAGTCTTGACTCTTGCCTCATCTTTTTTTTTTTCTCTCTTCATGTGTTTGCTGTCAATGCCACGCATCTCGCCGTGTTGCGTCTCGACTTGTTGACTGACGTTTCGCCGTGCGTGCGTGTCTGTTCCTGTGTGTGTGACTTGGACAGTTCAAGGAGATTAGCCAGGCATACGATGTTCTCTCCAACGCCGAGAAGCGCTCCGTCTACGATCGCCATGGCCTTGAGGGCCTGCAAGAGGGCCGTGGTGAGGGCGGTGGTGCTGCCGACATTTTTGAGCACCTCTTTGGATTCGGCGGTGGTCGCTCCCAGCGTGGCCCTCGTCGCGGTGAAGACACCGTGCAGCCTCTGAGGTAGGGCAACGATCATCTTCTTCTGGGGCAAAGCTGCCTGATCGACCTACTACTGTGGCTCTGGCTGGGCAACATGTGCTGGCTCGGCCCACGTTTACGGTGTACGTTACCTCATGGTGCTCTTGCTTGCCTGGTGCTTTGGCTGTTGACCGTGGTAGTGTGTCGATGGAAGACATGTTCAAGGGTACGACCAAGCGCATTGCACTTCGCAAGAAGGTGTTGTGCTCGAGCTGCGAAGGTCGGGGTGGCAAGGCCGGAGGTGGCCGAACTTGCACCAGCTGCGACGGCCAGGGTGTGCGCGTCCAGCTACGACAGATTGGCCCGGGCATGGTGCAGCAAATGCGGGTGGCCTGCGACCGCTGCAGCGGTTCGGGTGAGATCTGGAACCCCTCGGATGTGTGCAAGGTCTGCAACGGCAAGAAGCTGACACAGGAGCGCAAGATCTTGGAGGTGCACATTGATAAGGGCATGCGTAACGGACAGAAGATTACCTTCCGTGGCGAGGGTGACCAAGAGCCCGGCATTGAGCCCGGAGATGTCGTGCTCGTGCTTCAGGAGAAGAAGCACCCGATGTTTGAGCGCTACGGCAAGGATTTGGTCATGAAGATAAACATTGGCCTGATCGAGGCGCTGTGCGGCTTCACCATCAAGGTCAAGCATTTGGACGACCGCGTTCTGGCCATTACCTGCCGTCCCGGCGAGGTGATTCAGCCCGACGCCATCAAGATTGTGCCTGAGGAGGGCTTTCCGGAGCACCGCCGCATCTTTGAGAAGGGAGACTTGTACATTCGCTTTGAGGTGGACTTTGACTTCCCCGAGGGTTTCCTGTCGGCCGAGCGCATCAGTGCTTTGGAGAAGTTGCTGCCGGCCCGACCAAACCGTCCTGCCGTGACTGGCGAAGGTGAGCCTGAGGAGGTGTTCCTGGCTCAGCCCAAGCGCAACCCGGGCGAGGGTACCGGTGCGGCCACCTCGAGTGAAGCCTATGATGAGGACGACCACGAAGCCCGTAGTGGCCCCGGTGGCGTTCCTTGTGCCCACCAATAAGTGCGCTGCCTTGCATGGGGTGGTCAGCCGTGATTCGGCATGCCACCAACGCGTGCGCGTTGAGCACACCAAGACAAGACGGCAAAAGAGAATGATGATGTAGAAGGTGGAGATGCAATGTGCAGTCTATTGCAGAGGGATTGCGCCGAGCCCGAGGCTTGCGCTTTCGACTGCCGTTGGGAGTGGCCTGGTACCGGGAGCGGGCACTGCTTGCCTTGTTCTCCTTAGTGTTTTTGCGTGCGCCTGGTGCCCCAGGTTGACTCGAACTTTTTTTGTTTGGAGTTTTGCTTTTTTTTTTTCGTCTTTTTTTTTTTTTATCGGATGTTGGCGACGATTGAAAAGAAGTTGATTTTCGTTTATATTTTTCTTCTTGCTGCATTCTAATCTGATCCCCAAACTTCTCCCAGTAGCACCGACGGCGCGCGGGGCATTTCGAAAGGTCAGAAATGTAAACTGGAGGCAAAAAGCTGTCAGCGTCTTGTCGTTGCACCATTGTCAGACATTATTATGCCTGGGTTCGGGCATGTTGCTGCAACTCGCTCGATTCGAGGCCACACACATGGGTCACCACGCTCATGTTTGGTGGGGGGGGTACATGTAGATACATGTACATGTCAGGAAGGGGTGCGGGGAGGGGGCAGCGAATAGGGCGCGGTCTAGCAAACGTGTGTGTGTGTGTGAGAGAGAGAGTGTGTGTGTGGTGCCCTGAGGCCTCGTGATGACAGTATTATATACTGCCAATCACATGAGCTTGCACTGGTTTATCCACATGCCTGACATTACCCATAACGAGAAAGAGAAAGAGAGAGATTAAAGAGAGAGAGAGCGCACATCATGTGGTTGTTGCACAGAGAGAGGGACAAGAGAGAGAGGAACAAGAGAGAGAGAGAGAGAGGAGATCAAACGCTTCTTCTTCTTCTTCTTCTTCTTCTTCTTCTGTTCTTCGATTTTGGTCAAGGCGACGAGATTATTTCTGCATCTTCTTGATGCTTTGCGACATCAAGTTACGTCAGGGCTTCAAGGGTAACAGCAAAAACGGCAAGGACGGCTGCAGAAAGTCAATATTCACACTCGGCTCGACTTGAGGTATGATGGCAACCGGCGGCGGGTGTACTCCCACAGCTCTGGCGGCGGGGTTACAATGTGATGGCAGAACAAGCAGTCAAAGCAACGGGCGCCACTAGTCAGCCGGTCGCTTTGCGCATCGCGTGGTGGCCCACTTTATATTCTAAACTCATCCCAGCTTTGGGCTCGCGCAGCTGCTGCAGCATTTCTTGACGTTGGACGCAGAGTGTACAATTACGAAGCCTTCCCGCGCCAACCAACCAGCCAGCGTGCCAGCGTGCCAGCTGCCTGCCAGCCTGCCAGTCTGCTATAGTTTGGACAACAACGCTTCTGGCGTTTGCTCCGCTTCACGTGCGACAACGCCCGCAGAAGCCCAGCCCGTGAACAGGTACTGCCCCCCCCCGCCACCTCCGTTCCCCTGTCCTCTTGGAGTCCGCATCACGTTTTGTTCAGCTGATCAGAGGCATACGAGTGGTGGACCAGCCCCTGCTCTCCCTTGCTGACTCTTCTCGCGCGTCATTGTTCCCAACAAACTTGCATCTGACCCTCTTGCCTTCGTTGAGCTGATATCATAAATATTCTGATCTCCTGACTCAACTCACAGGCACCTCCAGCATGTCCGAGTCAGAGCACAACGATGCGCAGCGGTCCCTGCTGGGTGACGGCAATGTGCAATACGGCACTCGTTCCCCTTCCACCCGCAAACGCAAGCCTTCTCGCCCACGCCCATTGCGCTACGAAGGCGGTGACACCACCGACACAGACGAGGAGCTGCTCGACAGTGCCAACCCTCCCCACTTTGCCGGTCCCGATATGACCGATGGCGTCTCTCGCAGTCCAAGTCCACCCCGCAACATCTACGGGTCGCATGGCCACGAAATGCTCGAGACTCGCCTCGTCGGACGTGAACGGAGCCGCAGAAGGCAAATCCCTCGTTTGCCCGGCAAATCCTTCCTGCCCAGCCGTCGTCGCGTCACCAACCGCACCAATCGCAGTCAAATTCGCGGAGTTCTTGATACCCTCTCGGACCTCGATGAGGAGAGCACCGTGCCCTCCCCTCAACGCATGGGATGCTACTGTATCGCCCAGGCCTTTGAATGGGCCAAGCTGGTTTGTTGCCCGCGCACATCAATTCATGGCTCTTTGCCCCTTCTCAACCTTCTTGCCTCATGATGCCGCTGGCTCCGACCCCCCTGCACGCAAATAGGTCAAGCAAGCCCGACGCGTTGCTCAAGAACATGTCGTAATCAACGAAGATGTTTTGCGCATTACCCTCGCCACTTGGCCGCCGGGCAGTATGTGTGCTACCGACCACTCTCCTTGGCACTCGAAGACCCGTGTGTGGTGTCTCTCCATGCTTCCCTCCTCACGCCCACCCTTGTGTCTTCCACCCCCCTCCCGCCCTGCGTACGGTTGCCGGAAACTGCCACCAGGTGATGTGTTTATTTTTGCCAGCTACGGATGCCTCGTGTTTTGGAGCGTTGAGGAGACAGCCGAGCACAAGTTCATCGAGTTTATGAAGAGTTGGATCGATGACGAAGACCTGCTCCAAGAAGACGAGGAGGCCGACAGGTGCGCACACGCCTGCATGCTGCCATAAGACGGCGACCTACGGTCATGCGGCAGCCTTTCACGCCTTGTCGCTGACGTTCTTATGGTTGCTCATGTGCATTCTGTGTCATCCTCATGGCCGAATGCAGCTTTGACTGGTACTACGTCTCGGATCGCGACGACATGATGGTCTATGAGAGCTACTTTCTCCTGCCCCGTGTCAACGAGCAAGACGATAACATGCAACGTCTGGCTTTGAGCTATGCCTGCGCTACCAGCGTCAAGCTCGATACTTTTGAAGTGGCCATCGAAGCCACCATTCAAGCTACGCAGCACATTCCCGAAGAGCTTTCGCAAAAGGGTGAGATCTCTCTCAGCAAGCAGGAGATCAGCCGGTACATTGGCGAGCTCTACATCCAGGTTGGTCAGCAGTTGCAATACGCTCCAAGTGTAGCCAAGTGCCGACCAGCGTCCTCATTCTCTCTCTCTCCCCCTGCAGAAAAGCGCAGTCAACTTGACGACTGATCTCCTCGACTCGCCCGATTGGCTTTGGGTTCGTCATCTTGTTCTTGTCCCTCGTTTCTCAATTGCTTCCGCGCCGTGCCCGATTTTATTCTCGACGCAGGTCCGCCTGACCTACTCATTTCACTCTGTTGTCGTGACGTGCCGGTGGGATGTTTTTTGTTCCCATGACAGGACAAGCCCACTCTCGAATCGTATTACCAAAAGACCCGCAAGTTCCTGCAGATCGACAATCGCTGTGAGGTGCTCAATAAGCGACTCGATGTCCTGGCCAACTTGATGGACATCCTGCGGTCCTTCCAGACGGAGCAGCACTCCTCCCGTCTCGGTTCGTGGATTCTCCTTGTTTGTGTCCCGTTTGATCTGTGCTGTGGGGGCATTTACATACGTTTTTAAGGTCTCCTGCTGACCCGCTTTGACATGTATTCAACCTTGCTTAGAGTTGATTGTCATTTGGCTTATCGTCGTTGAGATTGTGCTCGGCTTGATCGACATCTTCTGGAACTTGTTTGAGCATGGCCACATTGACCCCATGTAGTCATCTCCACACCAACTGTGCTTGCCAGTTACTTGGAAGACACACAAGTTGGCTTTTCGTCGCCAACTTGCAGGAGACACAACATGGGTGTACGCTCGAAGCTTGTCCTTTGACCGCACAAGTTGCAGCGGTCTTGATTAGTGCTGTACGTCTCCTTTGTCCTCCACATGTCTTCAGTGGCAATGCTGCATGACATGGCCGACTGCTGTCAAGAGCTTCATGTTGTTTGTTAAAAGGCGTCGTCCCTCAGACACCTTTGTATGTATAGTGCGCGGTGCGTCTTCTTCTATCCATGTTCGTTGTATCCCTCCACACAATCCATTCGATACAAGAATACCATCGCCCCCGTCTTCATATCTCAATGCAATTTGCTGGGCAACCAACAGACACCGCATCAATACAAATTATTTTCACTGCCTCAGACCAACCACCTTTCCGAGCAGAGCTGGACTAGCACAATGTCCGAACCTGCGTGCTGCCCCAGCGCTCATGGCCAGGGCGCTCAGCAAGTCAAGTCAAACTCAGGGCGGACGACAGCGATAAAAGAACGGTCATTGGCTATAACACTACTTTTGTTCTGGGCCTCAACCAACATGCCGGCTGTGTCATCTCAGGCCTAGCTCATTGCAAACGCGTGGCTCACACCAACCAACACCACTCACACGCGCAGATATCAAACCTAATAAACACACCTTCATCAAATATCTATGGTTGCTTCGCTTTGAGGCCGTGAGTACTTGACACTCAACAGGCAAAGCCCGCAAACAAACTCAGCCAAATCGGCGAGAAAGTCGGCACAGAAGGCTCTAGATTTCAGAATCATCTCCATCGGGGTCAACGCCCGGGTGCGTGGGAGTAAAATCATTGACGGAAAACGTGTTTTTGAAGCGCTGGGAACCGTTCTCCGCCTGAGCCAGGCCAGCCTTGCGCAGAGGGCGCGCCAGGCTGAATTTGCCGGTGCCGGCTGACGCCAAATCGCGCAAGCTGGTGTCTTGCAGCTCCGCACGTCGACCGACAACCATTGGGATGGGCTGAAACTGAGTCGCCGCTGACAGCTCTTCACGTGCACGGTCGAGGCCGCTTTGACGAACGTTGGTGGCACCAATGGCCAACAGCTCATCACCCTCTTGAACCAGGTCACGACAAGGACTGTCCAAGGCTACACTGCCAATGAAAACGCCAGGTTCGTCAGTCCGTTCCTCAAGCACCAGGCCAAGCGGTTCACCGGGTCCCTTCTCCACAACCAACTCTAGCAAGTGAGGCTCGCCATACTTGCGCAGCACCTCGCGTGGCGCCGCCGTCCTCGTTGCCGCGGTCATCGACTTGGACATGGGTGACATTACTTCGTCAAAGTCGTCCATGTGGTGTGGAAGCTCTGGAGTCATCGAGGTGACCTCGGTCGAGCCGCCATCCATGGACTGCTCAAAAGCCCGCCCGGCCTTGCTTGTGGCGCCTGGTAACCAGCTGAACGCTTGAATGCCAGAGGCGTCGTCAAAACCTCCTGCCCGAGACGCACCGAGCTCAATTGAAGACAGCTCTGTCGCTGCGGCCGTCATGGGCCGGTCGTGTTCATCCAGGATAACAAAATCGTCCTCGTGTGGCGCAGCCCGCGCACCATTATCTGGCATGCTCGAATCGATGTTCGTCTCTCGCAAGGCGGGCAAGGCTTTCGACGCGCCTCTTCTGCCCGCAGACGGTGGCGTGGCTGCAGACGTGGAAGGTCGCAAGCTACTGCGCCCGGAGAGGCTGGTCATTGCTGTAGCTCCACCCATGCTGGTCGCCATATCATCATCGAGCGAGGGCACCTCGCGTACATTGAAAGGGTCATATGTGGGATTGTGCAGCACGGCCTGAAACTGGTCGGTTGCTCCCTGCTTGCTCTTCTGAGCGTTTGATCTAGCGGCCACCAAAGAATTGTCCGAAGCGCGACTGCTGTACAGATCCTCGTCATCGCTGTACAAATCCTCATCCGGATCATTGTTTTCCGGTAGGAAAGGGTTTTTACTGCGGCCAGCCCCGCTCAAGATCGTCTCCGCGACGGGCCCCTCACCCAGTTGTACGTCATGCCCAGTGTCGGACACGTCCACATCGTGCTCTTTGAAAGACATGAGGTTCAGGTTGATCATTTCTGGCTGTACCGGCTCCTCCGCATCCTCATGGTAGTATGAGCCAATTCGTCGACTTGAGACAAGGGTCACGGGTTCGTGCATAGCATTGTTGAAATCATAACCCTTTGCATGTGCGCGCGCCACATCGTATTTTGCCCGGCGTCCAGACAGCTGTGACTCACTTGTAACATCATCGCCCTCCTTGTCTTGAGGCATGCGCCGGCGCCAGCAGCAGAAGCACAGGCACAGGCAGCAACAAACCAAAAGTATCAAGACTATCAACACCACAATCCAAGTCGTGCTCGCCAAGAAATCGTAGTCGTCCGCCTGACTCGGCAAAGTCGTGGGTTCGGCGGTGGTCGTGGTCGAAGCAAAATTCCCACAAGCACCGCCCCGGCCCACGTCAAACCGGAGCAAGGGCGAATAGCCAAAAATGGCTGTTGGGAGTGGCGCAGCTGCGGCTGGTGCCGATACATCAAAGGTAAAAGCCGGGTATGCAAAGGAGCCCACGCGACTACCAACGTGTAGGAATCGACGAGATGCGACCACGCCCCCATTTTGATCCGTAGTAATTTGAATCACACTCAGACCGACACCTTGCACTGTGGGCAGACCCTCCAAGTGTGCCTCGTATAGGCCAGAGGCCAAGCCGCGCGCACGCACCACAGCACCCCCCAGACCCGCACCCGTCTTGATGCTATCCAGCCCCGGATCTGCCTGTACAGCCTCCCAGCTTCCAGCGAGGTTTGGGTGCTCCACATCAAAATAGACAAAAGTGCGGTTGACGGCTGGGGCTTGAGTCGCCATGGTCATGTTGACCGTGATGACAACTCGACAATAGGGGCCAGTCCGCACTGACGTCACAGTGGGCTGGGACAGCAAGCGCAGCTGACCAAACACTACGCGCAACAAGTGCACAGCGTCCAGAATGGTCACGTCTCCCGAAAGGTCCACGTCCAGTTGTCCCGGCTCTAAAGGAGGTGCTGCAGTTGGGCCTACCTGGGCTTGGACGAGGTAGTCCTGCAGATATAACACGTCATTCACACCAACGACGCAGTCTGCATCTGCATCCCCCACGACCTTGTGTGTAGCGCACTGATCACGTCGCCAGCGTGTTGCATCAATGCGACCTCGGCGAAACCGATCGGGGCCCACGACGCGTAGGTCCCCGGCCACAAAAGCGCGCGGCGTGGGCGAACCGATACCCCGTCGTTCGGCATCGGACACGCTTGTGGCATATCCATGCAATGCCGGGTCTGTTTCCGTTCCCATGATGGAAAAAGTGATGACTGCCACTTCAACGATGCCGTCATTCGTCGTCGTAGTGCCACCAAAGCGCAATTGACCAGGCGGATCATTGGCCGTAAAGATGAACGAATTGCCAACCCAATCGCTGCCAGGTTCCACAGCTTGAATGGCAAGCACAGCTGGGTCGTACTCGATTGTCAAATCCAGTCCAGCGAGACCGGTAAGTCCCGCATTGACGCGGACCGGGATCGTCAGGCTTCCTCCCAATCCCCAATCTTCGCCTAGGGCTGCGCCCGAACTGGCGCCCAGGTCAATGTCACCAGGCTCAGGCACTAGGTTGACAAATGTTGCCACTCGAGCGTTAGCGGATGTGAATGGGGATGTCACAAATATTTCAGTGGCAGTAAAAGAGTTACCCATCAGGAGCAGCATTCCGTTTTCACCATCCACAACCACGCTGCTGTCTGTGGATTCCCAAATGACGGCCCCTGCGAGCAAATAATCGCCTTCGCTTGTGTACGAATCGGCTGCATTCCAACGGGTGCCATCATCCAGCTCCACGTCGATTTGCAACTGCACAGACGAACCAGCAATTCCGCTCAGGGTAGAGGGGAACGCTGTCGGGAAGATGCCGGCAATTCTGCGTGGAACCTGAGAAAGGACCACATCAACCACCGTTTCAAGCGAGCAAAACTGCACTGTGACCGATCGCAAGCCACTTTGCACCGACAATGGTACGATGCGGTTGGTGTCAACAATGCTCAGCTGAGTATCTGGCGTTGTGACGGAAAGCATGTGGCTCACATCGATCGAGCCAAGACTATTTGGCAGGAGAGTAACCACTGCTTCAAGCTGGGCTCGTTGAATTACGTCGGTACCTTCGATGGGGTGAAGTGAATTCATGATCACGCTGCCGGAGCCTGCGTAGGCTGGCCAAGGTCGTAGCACCGTACGCAATTCGTCCACCACCGCAACACTAATCGCCACGCTACCAGTCAAATTGATGTGTAAAAAGCTGACGTTGACTAGATACAGTCCCGGTACAGCCTGGGTGACCACCAGGCGGGTATCAGTCAGATTCAAAGTCTCCGGTAGGCTGACTCGCATGCGATCGTCGCGGCTAAGATCCAGGCTATAACCGGGGTACTGCACTACTACGGACAGGGTGGCTTGGGTGGTAATCCCTGCACAGGCTGCAACGCTGTTCGCAGCCGCAATCGCTGCAGAAGAGACGCTTACCACAATACCAGTAGGGTCAGGTAGGTGCAAGTCGAGTGGGGTAATAGCCGTAATGGGCTGCGCTACGACACAGCTATCAGGCAGCAACGTCACTTGAAGCACGGCATTGTTGGCCTGGGAGATCGCTGTAAGGGCAGTGCCGTTGATATCCACAGCCGTTTCGGCCTGCAGCATGTCAAGCTGTAAATCCTGATCACGTGGCATCCTTGACGTGGCATCACTGTATGATACTTGCGCTATTAACCAGCCTTGCTGCTTTTCGCGCACAAACTCGCTTGAGAGCCGCACCACGGCTTCTAGCGTATCTTGTTCGATCGCAATGGTCGTGATCACTTCAACCGAGAGTTGCACCGGTTCAACTGCTGCGGGTGTGACGAGCACGGTCAAATCGCTCTCAAAGCCAGGCATCGCCACTCGTACGACCGTGCTACCCGGAGACACGCCCTGCACATATAAGGAGCCCGAAGGCGCGACTCCAATGGCAGCCACGTCGGAGTCGTCCACGCTCACGTGGGATGGCTTGAGATAGGCCGACAAGTCGACTTCACGTCCGTTGATCACTCCCTGCAAACGAAGTTGCGAGCGTTGATATCGCGTCGAGCAATTGCTCAAGTCTAAGCGGTTCAGCTCCAGATCATCGACAAGAACTGCAATATTGGATGGCCGGTAAATAATCACATCAATGTTAGCAGAAAGTTCGCCAGCAAAAATTTCGAGAGAATGAGTTCCATCTTCCGATGCCTGTGCTGGAGAGCAAGTGCGAAGAGAGCCAGCAAAACGGCACGATTGTACATCCGTTGATGCAACTGTGCCGTCGTTAAAGAGTTGTACAAGATGGATTTCGATACCCGTATTGCTGTCTGTCTCAAGGCGGGATGTATCCACCCAAAATGGCAAGGAGGAAGTGCCAAGAAGCAGGATCGGCTCGAGATTGGTAAGGTACACGTATCCGCTCGTGTCCCGGCCATCGCGCGAGACTATGGTCAAAAGGGCATCCTGGAAGCTGCCATCAACTTCAATCGGGTTGTTGTTCTCATCATGCAAACTGCCCTGCGCAGACAACATGGCCCGGCCTCCATCAGGCAGGCCGCGAAAAGTAGCCGAGAGCAAACGACTATAAGAGGAATCACCACTGCCAACATGGATGCCATTGGCCGCCAGTTCTTTGCCGGCAGAGGAATATCGGCCTTGCCATTCCCCGGCATCAAATTTGACCGATTCAAGAGCCAGAGCTGTCGCATCCCACTCAATAGACAACGTGAAGCTTGACACATTTTCGGTCACATCAGTCCAAACTTCAACCGAAAAAGAATCGCCACCAATCTGAGGAGCCGTTGGGAGATACATCAAAATTGCATTTTCGGCATCATTCATGGCAGCGGCAGGTCGCACCAGCTGGATTGTCGAGTCTGCTGATAAGTCCTGAGCTGCGTAGGATGCAGTGATTGATACAGTCGCCGACTGACTTGAGAACCAATCATATGGAATGTCAAAAGTGAAAGCCGAGATTGCCTGATCGCCAGGCTTGAGAACACGCGAGAGTACAGAGTTTGACAGTGGATGAGCCAGATCCACGATGATATCTTCACGAGCCGGCGTGAGACTACCAAGTCGATCTGTGGTCCAGACAAAAAGGTCAAGTCTGGCAGAGTCAGCTGGGTTCGCAGGTCGAAACACTTGTGGCGTGGCTGCTTGTAAATGGAGACCAGCCACCGGGCTACGAACGTCAAAGTAGAGCGTTGATGACGACGATAGCGAGCCAACATCAGCCGTCACAAGCACCTCTGCAGCATTGGTCAGGACGGAGCAGCTTTGATTGCCCTCACACCATTCAAAAGCAGCAAACTCCGGGGGAGAGACAGCAGCAGACCATTCAATGGGGACAATCGAATGCTCGATCGAGGCACATACTCGATCAGAGGTGGTGGTTGCTGGCTGAACAACAATCTCATCATTTCCACATACGGTCAGGTTCTGGCATTGGCGATCAGTGTCGCCGGAGCAGGGGCCCACTTCAAACTCGTGTGCCGCGCAAATGGAGCATGCCTGGCACACCGTGTCGTTGAGGGCTGAGCAGCCGTGAGCCTCAAACTCGCCGCTGTCGCAGGTCGCGCAGGGCTGACACACCGTGTCGCTCGTGTTGGTACAGACTGCGGCCTCAAACTCGCCGCTGTCGCAGGTCGCACAGGGCTGACACACCGTGTCGCTCGTGTTGGTACAGACTGCGGCCTCAAACTCGCCGCTGTCGCAGGTCGCGCAGGGCTGACACACCGTGTCGCTCGTGTTGGTACAGACTGCGGCCTCAAACTCGCCGCTGTCGCAGGTCGCGCAGGGCTGACACACCGTGTCGCTCGTGTTGGTGCAGACTCCGGCCACAAACTCGCCGCTGTCGCAGGTCGCGCAGGGCTGACACACCGTGTCGCTCGTGTTGGTACAGACTGCGGCCTCAAACTCGCCGCTGTCGCAGGTCGCGCAGGGCTGACACACCGTGTCGCTCGTGTTGGTACAGACTGCGGCCTCAAACTCGCCGCTGTCGCAGGTCGCGCAGGGCTGGCACACCGTGTCGCTCGTGTTGGTACAGACTGCGGCCTCAAACTCGCCGCTGTCGCAGGTCGCGCAGGGCTGACACACCGTGTCGCTCGTGTTGGTGCAGACTGCGGCCTCAAACTCGCCGCTGTCGCAGGTA